GTAGGGGCGTGGCAACAGTTACAACCTGCAGTTAGTTTGGCTTCAGCTTGTCCGCTCCTTTCCCATGTTGGTGGAAAGTAGGAATTGGAAGAGTGTGGGGAAATGCCTCCCGTGTTGTTTTCAGCCATGACTGCTGACCACCGCTGTCCCCATTGGCTCTACCACCTTACTATCTAGTGGTGGTTACTGTGCAGGTGAGTTGCTCTACTGATCCTTCCAATCTCTCTCTTCTCGCCCCTCCCCCCAGGAGGAGGAGTGATGGGAGCTGTGGGCCGCAATGCTGCTAGGACAGCTCTGGAGGATTTCAAGAAACTGTGACCCAGCTGGAGCACTTGGGCTGCCCTGGCTCAGAAAACCATACCAGTTGGCAGATAAGCAGCCGGATGCAACTCTGCTGAGCAGTTTCTCCAGACCTGGTTCCCTTGTCAGGGTTGCCGTCCTCAAGTGTTACACTCCTGGCATTCCACTGCAGCGGAGAATGAGATGGACAGTGCCCCCGCCGCCCCACGGGCACACTGGGAGCTGGCTTGTTGCTGGCTGATAGGCTCCTCCCACTGTGCTGCTGTAGTTGTGCTTTCTTGATGCGTTCGAGGGATGCAGCCTGCTATTCCCACAGAAGAAGATACGCCATGTGGAGTCTGCAAGATGCTTTTCCATGGGCAGGGTGGGCCAGGACTCCTTACAGTGCCATCCTAAGCAGAGTCACTCCCTTCTGAGCCCCTTGACTTTGATGGATCTAAACAGGTGGCAGGGCTTCAGGCCTCACTGTGACACTCTCTGGGTCTCAGGGTTTTGCCAGGTGCTCCTTCGCATGAGCGCTTCTTCCAAAAGGTCCAGTGTGCTCTGCAGTCTTAAGCCGAGTTACGCCATTCTATGCCCATTGATGTGGGCATAGAACATTCTGCAGCCGTGGGCTCCCAGCATATCATAATCCCCACTCCTCACCCCCAATGGCTCAGAGGCCAGACATCTCTTGGTCTCAGGAGCAGAGCCAACCTACCCTGTCATCATAACCAAGGGACAGGGAGAGTCTGCTCGTGTTCATATCATCTGACCTTGTGGCTCCAGAGCCAATGCTGGTCATGCCTCACTGAGCCCCATTCCCAAAGAGCCATATTTCTCACTGGCAAAGAGCAGCTGCTTGCAAACATCTCTCTGTGTTCTGGCCACAAATCCCAGCTGGGCAGTGGCCAGAAGTCCGCCACCCTCTCTGACAGGGACCGTGCGGGGATTTGTGCACTAAGCAACCTGGTTCACAGATCAGTTGAGCCAGTGCACTTGGCGTTAATCCAGTTCAATTCCGTTGAAATCCTTGTGCATAAATCATCTTAAATCTAAATACTCCAGTTTAATTGGTGCATGGACGTCCGCCAAAGTGTGTTGACACAATAAGGGGGGGGGAAATCAATATTATGCCTTCCTCCCAAGCAATGATGGATTGATTTCATGTGAAGGAATGATTGAAAAATCATTACAAGCTGTCCCTTTAGAAAATGTGTGCTCAAAGATCAGAGAGCCTTTTAAAAAAAAGAAAAAAACTGATCTTTCTTTATAATAATATTGCTCACCTTTGTAGGGATGCATCAACCAAGGGCAAGCAAAAGAGACAAGGCTGCAGCCCTCAGGCAGATAGTCAGCTGTCTCCAGGTGCTCCTTCCCAAAGTACTGCTGCCGAGCAGCCCCCGTTCATTTCAGTGCAGCTTGCTTGGATACCTGTCACAGAGTGGCACTGAAATGAATGGAAGTTGTGGAGCAGCTGCAGGTGGACTTTTCTGTGGAAGACAGCAGGAGTACATCATCTCATACTGACAAACTTGTTTGTGTATGCAAAATCTATACAATTACTGATGCAACGCTAAATGTTTTACATTATGGAATCAAAATGTCTGTTGAGGAGAAACTGAAAATGCAATATTTACAGTAAATGTCCCAGCAGCACACCAGCCTCATATGAACTTTGCCAAAACATTTGATCTCTCTGACGTAGCACAAGGTAGCCCAGCCTCTTGTGCTGTACCATCACATTACTGGTCTCTGTACAGTGTGTGTTCCCCTGCTACTTCTAGTTTTGTCTCAGCTTGAAGTTTCCAGTGATTTCAGTGCAAGAACAATTAACTATGAACAATTAACCCTATGCAAATTCTTAGTGCACCAGCTCTCAGTAGCTCATTACTATGATATGGCTCTTGTGGCTGTCTGTCTGAGACCTACTGTATGTGGTTGAGGACAGAAGCAGATCTTCCTTATAAAGTTCGAGTCTAGTGCTGCTTCAGACCAACATGGCTACCCTAACTATCCTTATAGTTAGGGCTCATAACACAAGAGGCGCAAACAGTCTCTCTTCAAGTCCTCTGAAAAGAGAAGTTAGACCAACAGTTTCCACTTGGTGGCAGTGTTGCTTCTCTGTAGCTTCCTGAGCAACAAAAAAATGAACAAAGCCAAATAGAGTAGCAAGAACTGCCTTACTAATATGGTTTCATTCCTCTTACTGTTTTATATCATGAATATGTTAACCACAGCTATTTTAGCTTCACCAGCAGTAGCTGGCAAGCACAACACCCATCCTTCCGCTTGAGGTACATCCTTACAATAGTAAGGATGATGTGTGCTATTTGGAGTTTGGCCTGGCTGGCACCTGAGAAGCATGTACTCTACCATTGCCTGCAAGGGGAGGAAGTGCTGATCTGGGGTGTTTTTCAAGTTGCTAAAAAAGGAAAGGGTAATGCAAAGTAATACTGGAATTTCCCCCTCCCTCTCAGTAAGAGAACAGTCTCGCCTCGGTGCTCAAAAGATTTCCTGGGGAGTGTAGGCTTTTCTACATTCAAGAAGTATGCCCAGGGCTTTTTTTAGTAGAAAAAGCCCAGCAGGAGCTCATTAGCATAATAGGCCACACCCATCAGCAGAAACTCATTAGCATATTAGGCCACATCCCATGCCTTCCCTTGGCTTGCCCGGGCGCCCTGTGGCTGCAGGGAGCCTGGGCACGCCCCCCCCCCTTGAAGGGCACCCCAATCCTTCCAGGGGTCCCCCTGGCCCACCCGCCTCGGAGTCGCCCGGGGATCACACACAGAGGTTTTGGCTGTAGTGGATGTGGCCAACTCTAAAGCCAGACGGAACTCCGTTCCTGTGTCCTGCCCCAAAATAGCCCTGAGTATGCCCTCCCACCGAGTCCCAGGGCCACTTCACATTTTCCTATATGGAGGATATGATTAAGTAGCCTGTGCAAGTCAGGGTTTCCCAATCAAATGACTTTCAAGCCCTATGCAGAAGTTAACAGTGAATGCAATACAATCCATGTACCCTATACTCACAGTTTTTTTTTTATGTGTGTTTGAGTAATCATATTACAGTCAATGGATGCACAGCCAACTATACGATACAAGCCCCACATAGAAGAAGAAGAAGAAGAGATTGGATTTATACCCCGCCCTTCACTTGGAGTCTCAGAGCGGCTTACAAACTCCTTTCCCTTCCCCTCCCCACAACAGACACCCTGTGAGGTGGGTGGGGCTGAGAGAACTCTTGACACAAACTGCTCTTTTTCAAGGACAGCTGTGCCAGAGCTTGTGACTGACCCAAGGTCACATCAGCAGGTGCAAGTGGAGGAGTGGGGAATCAAACCCGGTGCTCCCAGATTAGAGTCCACACACTTAACCACTACACCAAACTGGCTCCAGATACTGGTCCCTGGTTTCATACATGAAAGTGAATTCACATAGGCTCTTTCATACAGACAGATGTATGTGTGTTCACTGTTATGTGTGAATGGGGCACTGTGAGAAAAACTTGGTACAGGGATGTTAGGGCATCTTGAAAGTACTAAGGTTTCTCTCCTGTTCCTCTTCCGGCTAAGTTTATCATCCCTGCAGTCTCTGGATGATTGCAACCATTTCTCCCCCTTAGAAGGACAAGCAGTTGGCTCATTTTAGGATTGCCTTTGCTCCAAAGGGATCATTAGAGCGTCAGGTCTTGCATTTTTTAATTTATCCCCTAAATGTCATCTCCCCTTTCTCCCCCAAAGCCAGCACCACCTCTCTGCCCACAGGCCGTGTGGGAAATCCGAACTGCACTGACACTGGGAGTAGAGAGAACTAGAACGCCACAGCATCAGCCCCGCCCTGAAACATCAGCGCCAGGGAAGAAAGAGAACAACAAAATAGCTGCTTTTCCTGAACCTCTTTCCGCCAGGAGGTGGCAGCAGAGTGCAGTCAAAGTCAACGAGCGTGTGGCGAGGGTGGATACCGGCCGCTTCTCGCCGGGCGGAGGGAAGAGGGCGCTGGCTGCTTGAAGATCTCATCCTCTGAGATTCCACCGCCCTCTCCCCGAAGTGAGGATGGCCCACAGTTTAGGCACTTTGATTATAGGGAGGCAGGTGTAGGGGAATGGAAGGAGTCCACCTGCATTTATTTGAATATTTATACCCCATCGTTCTCACTACCGGGGACCCAAAGCAGCTCGGAACATTTTTATTCCCTGCTCTGTTTTCTCTTTACAACCACCGCCTTGTGATCCAGGTCAGAATGAGAGAAAGGGACTCGGGGTCACCGAGCCAGCTGCCAGGGCAAAGTGGGGGTTCCGAGGTAGGTCTCCGAGATCTCCAGGCAGACAGCACGATGCGGCCGATCGCTCGGTCCTTCCCTTCTCTGCCTTTTCTCTGAATCGCTGCGATGCAGCTGGCTTTCTGCAGGTAGGGAAGGGGTTGGTGTGACTGTGCTGGACCTGTTCAGGAGCGACGTTGCGGCGACGCCGTGAACGCGGGCAGGGAAAGGAAGCCGCGCGGTAGGCCGGAGCAGCCCTGCCAGCTTTCCTCGCACGAGAGGGGGCGCTCGCTGGGCTGGGGGACACCGAGGCTGCTCGAGGCCTCCGACATCCGCCTTCTGTGGGACTCCTCCGAGCCAGGTCTCCGGTCCCCTCCTAGCCTCACGCAGCTCTGGACCCGGCCGAACAACAGGTGGCCGGCTGCCAGCGCCCAGCCTCCCGCCCCGCGCGTGAGACGGAAGGGAAGCCCGACGGGCGCTTATGCCCGCGCACTGTGGCCGCCCGGCCCCGCCAGGCCTTCCTCGCGGTGACCGAGGGGAGCTGAGTGCTCCGCGGCGCGCGGGGGTGGGGCCGCCTCGTTGCCCGCCTCCGCTTCCTGCCGGCGACCGTGACCTCTGCGCCCTGCTGCCTCCCGCCGCCGCCCCGAAGCGCGACCTGGCTGGCAGGAGGCGCTGCTGCACCTGAGACAGCTAAATAAATATTGACGGGATGAGAATAGCTCTCCGGGCTGGCAGGGAGCTGTTTTTAGTGCCGCCGGAGCTGCCCCTCGCCTTTAACCACAGAACAGCCCGGGCTGAAGGGCGGACACGTGCTCGGGCCGGGGCTCGGCGGGGCACCTCCTTCGTCCCGCTGTGCCACGTCGGACTGGCAAAGCAGCGAGGAGCCCGGCCAGGGAACGGCCCTTTGGGGCTGCGCTGGAAACAACACGGCTGCCTTCCACTGGGGGGCGGGGGGGAGCGGGAGAGAGCGCACATATGCAGAAGAGAACAGAAGATGCTGCTGCTGCTGCTGCTGCTTGGCTCTTCCTGTATCAGAGGAAGGCATGCCGAGGATTCAGAGCAAGGTCCGGGTGAAAGATCTCCAGTGACGGGGCTGGGGGTTAGGCTTTCTAAGGCCTTGGAGAAACACTTCCCCTCCTGGAAGGGACACATCTTTGGCTCAGTACAAAGCAAATCTCATAAACACAAAAGATTCATTCCAGCAGTCCCTCCTAGACAGATCAGGCATAAATAGAGACGGAAGTGAAAAGGGAACAGTCGCTCCCGGTGTCCCTTGCTTATGGATGGGGCTGGCCTCACCCTTAGAGCATTGACTTTGCATGCAGAAGGTCCCGGGTTCAATTCCTGGCATCTCCCCTTCAGTTAGGAAGGGATCAGGTAAGGAGATGACATGACAGAGCCACTTTGGACAATACTGACCTGAATAGGCTAATAGTGCAAGTAAAGCAGCCTCATAGGACAGTCCCCGTGGATCTGGGCATTGCTTTGATCCTTTGTCCTGCCTGGCATGAACAGTGCTAAATCAGTGGGGAGACTTGTTCCCATTATAAGGGGGGGGGGGGGGGAGACAGGCTTTCTTAGGGCATGCATCTGTGCAGGCAGACTGGGCTGTTGATGAATGAACCACAGGAGGCAGCCAGCCTGGCCTCTTGTGGAGGAAGTGGATATGTCCGTATTCTTTATATTACTTTTGCTACTCCTCTTGGCCGTTTTTCCAAACTGGCAGGCCTGCTGCATTCACTGATTAAGCCTGACTGGGCTACCTTGTTTTCTTTTTGTAGGTACCATATGTCAGCTCTGCATCTATTCACACCTGCTGTTGTGGCAGCTGTCCCCTGCAGAGATTTCATAATGTGTTAATCACCACCTATTGAACAACTGTGCTCTTTCTTCCATAGGTTGACTCATCTTTAAATTTTTAGTCTAATCTGAATTAAAACCAAAAATGTGTGTGCATGTCAGCCACGCTGGTTCACAGTGTCATCAAACCCTCAATCTCAGTGCATTTCTTTTTCATAAAAATAGCTCTCTTTGGACGTTAATGTGTTCAACTGAATAAATGTATAATGAATTTGAAGCTTGTGTCTGTGCAAGTGAGTAAACCTGTTTTCTTTCTGGAGGGGGAAGAAAGACAGCATGTGGAGCAAAAATGCATCTGTACCTTTCTTGTACACAGGTATCAGCTCTGATGTTAACATTTTCTGTCTCCAAAGTTAATTAAGAACATAAGAGACGCCAATGTTGGATCAGGCCAAAGGCCCATCCAGTCCAACACTCTGTATCACACAGTGGCCAGAAATACCAGTGCCATCAGGAGGTCCACCAGTGGGGCCAGGACATTAGAAGCCAGCCCACTGTTGACCCCTCCCCCAAGCATCAAGAAGACAGAGCATCACTTGCC